GGAAAAATTAATTATGCAAATTAGAAAATAATAAACCAATCATGTTACGGGATTGAATGTATTTTACTCGTTGATGACGTCGCGAATTGCGAAATAACAACAAACAACAACCTTTCATGTCCCAGCCTGGGAACCAGTCAATTCGAGCGGATGCCACTTCGAGCGAAGGCGAATTCGAGCGGATTTTTTTTTCGAGCGGAAGAAGATCCATTTGTGCGAACAACAACCTGTGCGAGTTATATACGAATTACTTTAAAATTTCTATTATTTCTATTTTTGTATAAGCCAAGCTTTGCCCGGGAGGCAGGGGAAAGCCCCAGTCGGTTCCGGGGAAGACGGGGAAGACGCCTATAGCCTTATGTATAGCAAGTCGTATTTAATGGATTTTTAGGTTAACAAATAATAAAGTTCTATTTGTTCTGAATGTATATGGTATATAGCCTGCCATCTCTATCTTAGAGTAAATAAATAAATAAACAAACAAACATACCCACATTCATAAAAATAATGATATATCTTAAATTATACTAACTTAGTCAATGTTATCCTTTCCACAAGTTTAAAAAAAAAACAGTGGGTTTTGAACTTTAGAAGAAAATTGGTATGATGTCATTATTACTGTACTGTTGATACTTGTCACAGGGGCGGATCCAACATTTTTCAAAGGGGGAGGGGGAGGGGGCACACAACAGTTCCAGAGTAGATAAATGAGTAGCACATAACATTAATATGCATTGACATTTTTAAAATAGTGGCAAAATCGCCCTTGTCTCACACTACGTACTTACACCATTCATTTGTGCACTTTCTGACACACCTACATACGTAAAATAATTTAAATTCCTATGGTCATTAACAATTATACAATCAAAGTTCCTCCCATTTACAAATATAGGCCTAAATCGTAAATCTACAAATACAATTACAAAATTATATAATTCAATTACAAATATAGTTTTCTTTTTTTAAATACAAAACCCCGGGGGGGGGGGGGGGGCGGGGGGGGGGGGGGGGAAGTGGCGAATAGGGTGGCTAGCCACCCCTCTTTGTTTACCGTGAACAAAAAATAATGGTCACTCGTCTTGTGTGTGTGTGCTTCTCGTGCACTCTAGTAAAACATGCACTTTCTTTTTTAAGCATTTAAATTTGTTGCTTGAAGTTTTCTCAGGGCATTGCCGATATAATCACCAAATTGGGGGACTTCGTCTTCGCTTCGTTAAAAGCTATTAACTATTAGCACATTACAGTGTCGGATCCGGGGGTGGGGGGTTCGGACGAACCCCACTCTGTGAAGAAACGTAACAAAATACTATGGGTCCTGGCTTAAAAAATTCATGCTAACTAGACGCGGATCCAGACCTTCGCCCACTGCGCCCAGGCGAAGGTCAAGGTGAGAATTCGAATACAGATCATTTCGGTCGCGCTTCGTTTCGGTCGCGCTTCATTTCGGTCGCGGTTTGTTTTCAACAAATACATGGAGCGCCAATGGAGTTTCGAAACGCTAAATTTAATATAACTAGGCCTAATTATCATTGCAAGTTCGTCAATCGGTTTATCATATTTTTTTAATTTATGTATTTCTAATAAGTAATAACAGGCTACTTAAAAGCAAGTAAAATTAATACTATTATTACTAAACTATCAATTAATATTATCGGACGGTTTTTATTTTCGTTTTGTTATGAATCCTACGCTTTCTACTACATAACAAATACAGC